AAATTGACACAGACAAGAGCTTAGCTTTATTACGCTCCCTCAAATATTGACAATATAGCAGCTCCAGCTGCAAATTTTTGAAAGCTTTTTATGAGGTTGGAATGCTTCCATATTAATGTAGGCTAATACAATTATAAAGTTTTTTTTTTTAGCGAAAATGATCATATTATATACGATAATAAAATGATTGATTATTTTACAGAAGCAACAACAACTGTAATATGGTATTTTAGGGGAAACTACGATTACCATGGTAAATGTGTGTTAATAAACTATTAAACCAGGTGAGGCCAGACCGTTTTGAAATGTAAAGGAAAAGCTTCATTAGGTCCTCTGTCAGTTAGATCTCTCCCATCACCTCCTCCAATATAAAATGCCCATACAAGGACACATCTTAACGTCATGCGAATATCGGCAGTTATTACTTCCATGCATCATATACGCATCGCATGTTCTCTGTGTGTTTGTATGTTACACGGATGTTGGATGCCTGTGTACATCTTAAGCAGATGCAGTTGACAAAATGGGAGTGTTCAAAATAAAATCCGCAGGCAAATGTCGAAGTCGCACTTTACATATACACACATGCATGCGTGCACACGCCGGAAATATAGAAAAAAACAAGCCCCAAGTTTCATGTACAGGCGATCTGAGTTTGGTTAAATACGAAAATTGTCTAAAAGTATTAAAGAGAAGCATACCTGTTAACTCTGAAGCACCTTCCGCCTTTAATACCCCTTTAATTTCCGCCACGCTCTCGTTGTCTTGCAAAGTTGCAAACTTAAGTGTGCAGTTTTGTTGACAGGTCTTCGGTCTCTAAAGTTTTCCACCAATCAGCGCTTGAGTTTAGCAATGTCCCGCCCACAGACTGCGTTCTCCACCAATGACAGCATACTTTATCTTCCGCCCTTCAAAGCACACTTTTTTTTGTGTGACTGCCGAACACAGGTGACATGAAAATGAGGAGCATGTGCTCAAACAAATGGGAAAAGGATCCCAACAAACCTCCATCCGCATGTATTAGACTTGGTGTTTAAGTCTAGTTACATAAAGCATGGAGAGGGTGTTCTATTACTTTTCCTCTAAGCAAGACTTTAATATAGACTAGTATCAATTATGTGCTTTATGTTATTTGATTTTTTTTATAGATTCAAAACCAATTTCAAGGGCTGTTTGGAACAAAATATGGTTTTGAGTCTCTCCAATTGCCCTGATGAATAAAACGTTTTCCTAATAACAGGAAATTATGTTTGTGATGCTCTTCAATTGTTTATGTTTATGTAGAATTTGGATTTATGTAGTATTTGGATTTATGTTGTTCCTTATGTGTCTTGAGAACCTGCTAAACTGTTCTGTATTTTTTAAATTCATAAAAAAACTCACTATAATTTTATAGTTATCATTTATAAAATGAGACTACACTTTTGAAAGTGTGTCCTGACTCCTGAGCCATATTTAGGGACCCAGTTTCACTGTGGTCATGCTTATATCACTTTTTGACTTGTGTCGGTAAGCAATCCCTTAGAAAATGCAATCTGCATAGTAACATAAAACCAGACCTTTAGCAACTGTATAAAAGGCCATATCAACCACCCAAAACACTAGCATTGCGGTGAAGAGTTTTGCATGAGCAAGCATAACCTACTTTTTTTTTTTTCTCAGAAACTACATATAAGTGACTCTAGACTGGCCTTTAGTGTAATGCCTCAGTTTACAATAGGCTATTTATTTGCATATAAATAGCATCTGCTATGCTACTTTTTCAGCATGTATTATAAACCATTTTGTATACATTTGTGTAAAATGTTTATTATGTATTCTAATAAGTATATTTATGGCATATTTATTCACATAAGTACTTTGAGGTATTACTAGTAATAATAGTGTCTTTACATAGAAACTAATAGCCCTATATTTTACGGTCACAGTTTGTACCCTAAATTTTAAAGGGGTCATATGATGTTGCTAAAAATAACATTATTTTGTGTATTTGGTGTAATGAAATGTGTTTTTTACAAAGCTCATCGGTCTGAAAAGCGAGGTGTGCTCTGATTGGCCAGCTATCCAGTGCATTGTGATTGGCCGAATACCCGTTTTAGGAGGGCGTGGTTGACTCTTAACTTTTATAAAGAATATCTCTTTGGATTTGAGACTTTAGTCTTTGTAACTTTACAGATCTTCTTTATGCACCAAGAGCTTGTAACACTCCAAAGAGAAAGGAAAAATTTCATATGACCCCTTTAAGCCATTTAAAATGTCTCGGGACCTTTTAGCCATTTAAAAAGAATTACACAATGTTTTTTTTTATTATTATGTATTTATTGCACAATTTTCTCAAACGGTGTCAGTTAAAACATGTTTGAATACCACCAGCATGTTGACAGGGATGTGATCTATATGCCTTATACAACGCCTATGTGATGCGCTGCTTTAGAGTGCTAATAGTTGTGACTTGTGAGGCATGAGTGTTTATGCCTGTGTGTGAAGAGATCTGGATTCAGGCCAAAGCATCAACACATCTGTGATCAATCATCCACCTGCTCAAAGGCTCTGAAAAAGGAAACATCATAAATATCACTGTACAACTGTTTTAAATGTTATCTGACGATTAACCTACTAATTTAGTAATATGAGAATTATTCAGACTTCAAAATATAGTCACTAGAATTATTTTGCGGTTGCCTAGGGCGCCCTCTAATGGTAACATCACTATATTGCACACACTTATCAGGGCTAAATGTGCGCCCTTGTTTTGTTTCAATAAATGTTTAAATAATCGATGCAAATTAACCTTAAAGTATTGTTCAAACTTTAAAATCTTATAGTTGAAATCTCATTAATCTTTTTTACTTTTTTTATTAGTTTGTTAATGATAACTAAAATCAAAATTAAAATTACTAAAAATTGTTTTCGGTCACTAAAATGAAGCGGAGAAAAAATAAAACATAAATATAAGATGAAAAACTTAAAAACCTTAAACAAAAATTTTGAAATTTCGCCTTGGCACATGAAGAGATAGTTCATCCCAAAGTTGTTGTTTTTTTCTTCTGTTGAACATAAGAGAAGATATTTTGAAAGAATATTGGTAACCAAACAGTTGCTCTTCACTATGGGGGGAAAAAAGTCAATGGGGACCAGAAACCATTTGGTTACCAACATTCTTCAAAATATCTTCTTTTGTGTTCAGCAGAAGCAAGGAACTCAAACAGGTTTGAAACGACTTTAGGGTGAGAAAAATGATGACAATTTTCAAATTTTTGTATAATTTACTTAAACTAAAATTAAAAAGAAAACTGAAAATATACAAATAAAAGCTAAATCAAAATATTACTAAATAATATGTAACTAATACTAAAATAACACTGTCATTACATGCAACTTTGTTAAACATGCTCACAATCATATTCTCATGTATGCACTCTTGTTTCCTCAAACATCCCTGTAAAATTTTATTTATTTACCTTTCTCTTAGTCCAGGATCTCTTTGATGCACCAGCAGCAGAGCAGGAAGTAGAGGCACTCTTTAAGTGACTGGATAACTCCATAAGCCACATTCCCTCCCAGCAATTTCTTGCCATGGCCCATCCTCAGAGCTGCATCTCTCAGGTTTTGGCCCAGTGAGGAGGGCATGGCCTGGGGCAGCGGGCGCTGTGGGTGCATCTCACTCCACCTTTCCACGGTCGACTGGAGAGCGCGAGCGATACTCGAAGGGAGGAACTGGAGGAGAGTGGGCCAGGTCCTTGTTTGCCGCTGCGCGTTGTGGGTCTCCACTTTTTCCTTCAACCGTAACGTCTCTTCAGATGAAACACTGGAGCGAACTGACTCCTGCGTGTTGTGGGATACACGGACCCAGCGCCCCCTGTAAAATGTGTTTTATTCAGCTCTGGAAAATGCCAGCAAACCGTTCACCTATTACACAATGGCCTCACAACATCTCTCATCTACCTATTGTTCATCTCTAATTCCACTACTGTGCAGTGAAAGGTCCTGAATGACTGTCAAAATATTCACACACAGTGCACAAACAAATACAGACCTTGTCATTTCTTCTGTAATAATGTGACGAGTGTCACAATGAACGATTTGTGGGATTAATCTTAAAGAACAACAATTACAGCAGTAAGATTCTGAGATTTGACATATGTGGGGCCATGAACCCCTTGAGCAATAGATTTATGCTTATTAATAGTATGTGTATATATACACATATTAATAGTATGTGTATATACAGTGGGTACGGAAAGTATTCAGACCCCCTTAGCAATAGGTGAAATGAAACGCACCAAGAAAGGTGAATGATATATGTATTTATATGTAACATATAATTTGATACAGGTGTAAACATTTATGTTTTCCCCAAAGAACAACAACATAAAAATAATTATTAAAATAATCAAAAACATGTATTTAAAAAAAAGAAAGCAGCAACATTTATATAGGCAAAGAAGAAAAAAAAGCCTTTGGCTTAGAAAATAGCAAACAACCAACCACAACAAAAAAAGTCACCATTACCCACAACAACAGGAAGTGTTTCCATGCAACAAAAGGCCGCTGTGAAATATGAAAATGAGCAAACAGTTCAGTGGCGAGTCAGAGTTGTAAAAGCCAGATTATTCCAGACCATTCCAGCCCATCGTATGTATGTATGTATGCATCCACGCACACACAGACTCATAAACAATCTTTCTTTCAACTCCATTATCAGTTAGTGACCAGATCCGCGGTGCTATCAGCACATAAAAAGTCTGACGTCAAATGATTAAAAAACCCATTCAATGCATTCATTTGAATTACAACAGGCTAAAATTCACATAAGCATGAAGGCTGGACACATACATATCTGGATTTATAATGTGGAATGAATGTTGACCGTTGACTCAAAATCCACAATTGACATCCATTAAAAAGACTAAAAATAAAACATTTGCCCATTTCAGATTCATAAAGCATCCAGATAAGGGTCTTTGTACATATGACTAAGCAAATCCTCATCATTTACATAGACTTGTGTGATAAAAACAATGTGATTGCGTTGTCTTCAGGAGAGCCTGTCAAATCTTACACCTTTATGGTTTTTTCACCCAGTACAATCCTGCGAGTTTGCAAATTCCCAACGGATTCATTTGTCACAGATCCACACAGTGAATGACTGGTTTTAGACAGCTATTAGCATAGGCAAAGCTTATTTACACGTTCTCTTGCAGGGCATCTAATGTCGGTTTCTAAATGACAGATAAAAGAGGGTGTTTATTCACACATGTAAGTTTAATTAAGCAACATAACGCTATACTAAGTTTTTATATAACCCACAGACCAGCACTAAACTAAGCACAGCAAAAATAGCATAGCAGAATTAACGTGCCGAAGAAAATGAAGACTGCTTTCCCAAGACCTGTACTGAGCCTCGCTAAACTTGTGCCGTTTTTGCATTTGATTATCTTTACAGTTGTTAAGTTTTTTTTTTTCTTTCAGAAAAGAAAGTGTCATGATTACCCATAGAATCACAAAAGGCGACTGTGTTTTATCGATGTGTCTGTGTTTGGTAAAAAAGGCACAATCAATATCAGAGCAAACAAAGATGAAAAAAGTGGTTTCCTGTTTGTGGCTTCAACAGAAACTGCACTTGTGGCTGCAAAGACACGTTCAGAATTCATTTGGTGTGCTTTTCCTCTTCTTGGTTGGTGTGTCCCCTTGCAACATATGTTGTTCAAATGCAAAGTGATTATAGTGAATCTTTGAAAAGGGCACATGTTTTATAACACACATCATAGCCTCCTTACACTTTCTCTTGTAACTCAAGATTCCGAACAAACAGAAGCAGCTGACACCTCGATACACGTGAAGATCGATTGTCAATGCGAACAGAAGTAACGTCCACAAGAAAAATAGAACCTCCAATTCCCAGAATAAAACCATCCTGATGTCGTCAGCTGATCGAGATGACATCATTGCAACAAATATATAAAATCTTAGTTAAAATGACATCATAAGAAGGCTTTAATAATCTGAGCTCAAACTACAGTCCTTCAGTCCTATTCAGGCTTACGCGCCCATGTCCACTGATTGCACTTTTTCTCTCGTTCCTTTTGTCCCAAGCTGATATATGATGTTATGTGGAAAGGGAACGTTCCCTTTTTCCACAGACTAGTTTGTTGTATCTCATAATGGGCCGCGTTAAGTCTCTCACAGCGTCTGCTTATTTGCATAAGGAAAAATCCACACAGCATCCGTGCTGCTAAAGCGTTCACATATGTTCAGGGGTCTTCCCAAATGACCAAAATTCCCAATTTTTCTTGGGGATCATGTTCGGAATTCTATAAAGGGTATTGTGAGGTTGAGATTAAGAGGCATTTTTGTGTGTTATCCCCTGGCGGGAACACTGGGAGAGAGATATTCCGGTGGCAATTACGGATGTGATTCATTAGATGCGGAAGGTGATCGTGAGAATGAGCTCTGGATTCTCTTTAAAGTTTTGCATATTCATCAGACAGTCTTGACACCACGGCAATGCAAGATTTCCAAACGACCGCAACAAAATGCTCTCTGAAAACAAACTCTTTGGATTTCACCCATTGCACTAGATGTGAATCTTTAGAGTGCTACAAAGGTTCTGCAATTTTAGTACATTCACATCAACTCTCGAATAAGAATGCGGGGCCTGTTGCCATGGTTACAGGTGCACCCCAGTCTTAATTCAAGACATGATGTCGTGTTTGGGAAGTGATGTCACATCCATTACGCATCTGTTTCTCTTTCAAACGCCTCATCATTTGGCTTTTTGTATTCGCTTATTTCAAGCGACGTGTCCATTTGTCCTTGAGTAGAATGATTGCATCGTTTTGTAATTTCATGGCCGGTGGTTGATGCGGTACAAAATTCTATGTTTCTGTGAAGATATGATTAGCTTACACTCCCAACTGGAAATTTTTTTTTTTCTCTAATAGAGTCTGGCAAAAAAGTAGGAAAGAGAGCAGTTTTTTTTCTCTTAAATGTGTGGTGGAGAAAAATCAGCCTTTTTTTTTTTTTTTAAGTTGGGCGTATACCGGGCTCCTGCAGACACACCTCGCTTCCTGCCGAGATGATTGGCAGCCGGTTGTCCATGTGATAGCTAATCAAGTGACTGACGCTCTCGAAGCGGTGGTCTTTGGTGCGCACCTATGAAAGGAAAAAAAAAGAATTCGAATAAGTATTAACATGCTATAGAATTATATAATGTTTTATCAAGGACAAAATATTGAGAGTGTGGTATATTTCATCACATTACTCACCACTCCCTCTGGATCCACCAGAAGCAGGTGTTTAGGGTGTTTAGGTTGCTGTCCAGTGAGGACGTACTGGCCTGGTGTGGTGCCTGACTCCCGCACCAGGAAGTCTAGGAAGTCTCCCAGGAGTCTTTCGGCCTGCCTGCGGCTTAGAGGTCCGTGGAACCAGGACTCGTTTTGCAGCTGCTCTGCCAGAGGGGGCGCCACTGTACCCGACACGCCTAAAGCAGCATCAAATGGCTCTGAAAGACAGAGAGCACGATATTGGTGTATCTTTGGAGAATTTACACTCAGTTATTCTACAACTGCACCTATAACTGAACTACAGTAAACTCAAATATTCTCCTCAAAACAGGAAAAACAACTCCAAAACATATATAAGGACTCTCCATACAGAAAATATATTGATATGTATCAAGTGTTAGGAGTTGGTAAAATTTGTATTAAATGTATTAAAACATTTTAGTAAAAATATACTGTTCACTACCTTTCAAAGATTTGGGGTAAGATTTATTTTTTTTGAAAGAAATTAATATTTTTACTTACCAAGGATGCATTAAATTGATCAAAGTGACAGTAAAGACTTGCATTGTTACAAAGAAAATTGTTACAAACAATAAATTTCTTTTGAACTTTTTCATTTCATCAAAGAATCCTAAAAAAAAACTTAAGTCTTAAAATTATAATAATTTAAAATAATAAAAAAACTAGTCAATAACTGCAAATCATGCTTTTATTAATTTTAAACAGATCTTTACTGTATGCTATTGTTATATTAACGAATATGAATGAACATTTAAAAAAAGTAATTGCTTTTATTATCATTCAGTAGATTTTTACTGATTTTTACACTGATTAAGGAAAAAAGTAAAATCACAATTTTTTGCCATTTTAGAGCAAATACATGAATATCAAGACATACATCAGAAATCAAGATATTTTTCCAACCAAATTGCCAAGCACTCGTTACTCACTCATATCAAATGCATCTCTGTGAGCATTTCCATTGGCTGCTGCCGCTGGGAGGCGGGGTTTATCCACATTGACATATGAGGGGTCATCAAACAAGCCTCCCTCCTTAACACCCACTGAAAGGGAGAAAGAGAAAAGAGAGGACGACTGTGAGGTTAAAGTGAGTTAACCTTCAGGTGAGTGAGCTTAAGCGGTGCCATTCTGAGCCCTATTGTCAGCAAGGCCAGCGATCCAGAAGCCACCTCTCAAAGGAGCCGTGTAATAGGTTTGGGCAGCGTCCAACAGAGAGCAATGAACAGTGACAGAAAAACTGCTGACTCACTCTGCAGAATGACAGTCTCAGCTGAGAGCAAAAT